TGTGAAACGTATTTCTGACAAATAATCTTGTCGGTGGGTTAAAGTGAAAATAAGACATGTCGTCCCAATTTCAAACAGTGATTAGCCGAAACTTAATTTGGACGGATTTTATTAAAAATATCTTTTTATAATGATTTTCAGATGAATTAGTATATCCATGAATGTTTTGGATTACTATATACTGCGGATAGAATGCCAAAATATTTCTCTTTTATATCAATTTTATTTTGCACCGCTGCAAGATATCTTTAATTTACTCCCTGACATATAGGAGAATATACCCAGTACAAATGAACGGCTTCATCAATCTTTTTGTTTCAAAAGATAAAAAATTAATTTCCACTGGAGAAAAGGAAAAGATCGAAAACCATTTAAAAGAAAAATTCAATGATAATTATTCGTTTACTTTCCATTATAAAGGTATGTTTTTATTATTTTTGATTTTGATATAATTCGCCTTATCATTATTAAATGATAATTAGCTTAAATGACAAACAGCAACTTAATAAAGAGGTGTATTTGTCATATCAGTGGATAAATTTTGATCCCTATTCTTTTCTCGGTGAGTTTATATATCTTTTCTAAAGGGGAATCCTTCAAAATTTCCGCCTATTATCAGACTTTGGCAGACGCAGAAAATAACCATGTTGTAAAAGATGTGGCTATTTTTATTTTTTTCCTTCCGTTTGAGTATATTTATATTTTATTATATAATATCTTCATTTTCCTTCAGCGAGCTTCAACGGCTATTTTCTCTCTTATCTTTTTCCCCCCAGAAGGAACAGGTATCAGAAAACTTTTGAAAATTGATAAGGGTTTCTTTTTCTAATTATACATTTTAATTTTCATATAATAATTAATAATTTTCATTTTCTTTCCTAGTTTGATCTATTTTTTTATTTTCTGACAATCATTTCTGTCTGTCCGTCGGTCCGCCCGTCTGTATGATTTCTGTAAATCTGTAACATTTTAGTTTCTGCTCGATATCTTGAGTACATGTATAGCTGCAGAAATTTAGAGTGATGGTTTGATAAATTAGTCTTCAGCCATAACGCTACTGATCCTGTAATCATAAAACAATATTATCACAGATAATTTAATTCATGCCGCTATTAGAAATACATTATATTTTACATCTTAGGATAATTCCGCATATCCCTGCGCAGTCTGCAGGATATGCGCCTTTATCGCAGCGCAATTATCATATATCCTTTCATTGCGAAATCGCAACCTTTGCTTTTCTTGACAGAGTAACCCAATCAAAATCCTTGATTTTGTTGCGCCATTTTTGTTAGCCTGGTATTGCGTTGAAAAAAAAACCCACCACCCACCCTTTTTGGGGTTTTTGGTTTTATATTATTTTGCATTTTAGTTCTTATTTGTATTTTTCTAATAACTTGTCATACGTTTCTTGGATTGGCGCAATTGTGTGGACGCCTCTAAGGATTTACTCATTTATTTCACGGGCACTGGAAGTTAAATCAGAACTTACCTTTATATTCAGTTTGGATAAACCGGAAGTAAGGCAGTCTAGCAAAATTCTTAGGCACTTGGAGGTATAAAAACATCTTTTTCTTCGAAGGGACGGCATTGGGGCGGAACGAAACGGTACATATATTTAAAGTAAGTTATATGTGAACGATTAATCGCGTCAAGTATTCTGAGAAAGGCCTACAATACCCCAAACCCGAATTTGCCTCAAAAAGAGTGTCCAAACTTCTTTTTTCATACATACACATACTATATATTTACATTAACTTCCAGTGCCCGTGATTTATGTTATATTTTATGCATATTTACATGTACTCTGATATGTTCACTGCATGTAAATTTCTAGTCAGTCTCAGGGGGATCACACTTGTACCTTTCATCTATGTACATGTAACCTGTATTGTTTAATATTAGGTGATCCCCCTTAATGATTTGTTATACATTTTACTTTCTGTCATTGTATTAAATGACATATTCGACAAAACCGCATATCTGCGTTTGATTATTTTTCACTGCACTATCAGGCTGATATTTCTCATAGGAGACATAAAAAGAAATTAGTTAAGTTTCACTCCTTGAATTTAGACACATTCTTTAAAAACGCGTCGATTGTGCACAGTGATAAACACATTTATCTGAATACTACTATCGTTACAGGGGAGTACAAATGTCGATTTTATATATTATTATATCCTATTTTATTTCTATTGAAATATGCACAGTGGGGCGTTTGAAAACAGACAACCACTCCTCTCACAGGGTTCAGGTCATTTATATAGACAAAGTGAGCAGCTTAGAGTATACAAAAGTTATTGCTCTTAAATGTAATAAAACAACAATATTATCGAATCAATCCTAGTAATGCATCATTTTAATTATATGGTTTTAGATTACCGGTAGTCCAATTCAGGGAAAAAGCATCAGTATCAGCAGCATCTGGATCAAATACCTAAGAAATGAAATTTCTTAACTATGCATTAAGTCTTGAAGCAAACAAATCAATGTCAAGAAAGAAAAAATGATGACAAATTCGAATAAAATTGTCAGATTTAACATCCATTCTTTAATCTGAGAACTGTCTGGAAAGAAAATCTGCTTTTACATTTTCCACTCCTGGAATATGTTTAGCTGAAATAATTATATATTTGTCTAAACACCAGTTCCAAAATTGAATAGCAACAGAATCCAGGGATTCAGAAGTCATTCCACCCATGGAATTAATATAAGCAACTGCAGTAGTGTTATCAGATTTAATACCAATGTGACAGTTTGAATAGCTTGCAAAAAGATTTCTGAGTGCAAACTGAATAGCTCTAAGTTTCAATTCGTTAATATGCATCTTAGATTCTAAAACAACCGAGGCCCCGTGTCGCAGTAGGTACTGGCACGAAAAAGATCCCTCACTGCCTAAAGGCCCTGAGTGCCGAGCATAGGACAAAATTTGTAGCCCTCCACCGGTAAGTGATGGCGTCTCCACATGAGTGAAAAATTCTCGAGAGTGACGTTTTCTGAAATAACCATTTCCGATTCATAATCTATAGAATTTTTAAGACTTTTTTATTTTATCTCTTTCCAAATTTCTGTAATGCAAAGGTCCAACAAATATAGCATTGATTGCATGAACAATAAGACCAATCAAGGATGCAAATTTACGCTCGTGTAAAATCTCTTAACATAGTGTCATAATTTTTGATACCTTCTCATCAGTAAGAAAGACCTTTACTTCTACAAAATCAATGATAAGGCCAAAAAATTTTATTCTTTGAGCGGGTATCATTACTGACTTCTTGCGGGAATGAGAAACCAACAAACCAACTCATTTGTCACTATTTCAGTTTTAGTTTCTCCCTTACATTTCTCAAAACTTGTATTTACAATGAAAGAATCATCAATATAGAAACAACATTAATATTTTTAATATTCATAGATCTGAAAAAAATTGGAAAAAATTCTAGGCGCAGACGCCAGACCAAAAGAAGAACAGTAAATTTATACAAACTGTCATTCCAATTAAAAAGCCAAAATAATATTTCCTGAAACCTGGATGAATACTTATACTGAAATAAGCATCTTTAAGATCGATAGTTGTCAAATAATATTTTTCAATTAGTTCCAAAACAAAATGCCGATTTTCTTGCTTAAAATGTTGGTATTCAATAATTTCATATTGGATTTTTGGGGGTAAAATCCGTGTTCATGAGATATTTACACTTACCTGCCTCCTTAACTATTTGCAATTTCCCTCTAGTTCCCCATACAATGCGTCGATATATTTTTTAGAGTAACTACGGTATCACCTCCAGTTATCCCCCTTAACTATAACTCTTCAGTTTCTCTCGACGAACTTAAAAGGTTCTGACCTTTCAACTTCCTCGAGAGGGGAGGAGGGCCGGGTGAGGCAGGTAAGTGTAAATATCTCATGAACACGGATTTTACCCCCCAAAATCCAAGTTCATTTCAATATTTCCACTTACCTGCCTCCTTAACTATTTGCAAAGGAATTTGCAGCCCAAATTGGAGGTGGGAGAGGAAAAGTAAGTGACAAAAGTACATAAAAGGTACATAATTACCTATTTTTGCTTCCCTCTCCTTGACGAGTCCAAAATTGCTGCCTTAGCAAAAATGGACTGATGATCTGGAACATCTTTCAGATAAAATGATGTAAAGGTAGATTCAGATGCCCAGTGTGCTGCCCGTAAAATCTCTTCTGCAGATACACCACAGAACAAACCCCAGGAAGTTGACAACTGTCTAGTGTCATGTGCTCTAACTAAATTTAATGTTGCTGCTTCTGCATTATCATACGCAAAACGAACCATGCTAACTATCCATCTTGCAGTAGTGTCCTTTGATGCTTCCTTGTGGTTATTCTGTTGGTAGGTCACAAATAACCTATTTGACTTCCGAATAGTTTTCGTTCTATTGATATAAATCTTCAATGCACGACAAGGACACAATTTTAAATCCTCTGAATCTGTGGCGAATGAATCAAATGCAGGAATGTAAATAGGGTCCCATGGTCTATTTATGGTTTGAGTTTTTGCAAGGAATTCCATATTTGGTAACATTTTTATCCCTTTCCTCTCTATTCTAAAGTGACCATCATCTAAAGTGAGACTGTGAATCTCGCTCACTCTCGAAGCTGAAGCTATGGCTACCAGAAAAACAGTTTTAAGAGTCAAAAACTTTAGATCTGCTGACTCTAGTGGTTCAAATGGATGTTTTGTGAGAGTATACAAAACCAGTGGTAAATTCCAGTTCGGTGTCAACTGACGTACAGATGGGTGTTTATTAAATAAACCTTTCAACAATGAAGAAAGTTCTGTACTTGTACCAATACTGCTCCCATTCTGATGAACTATTGCTATTGCTGACTTGTATCCAGCTATAGTCTGTGGTTTACACTTTCTCACATTGAAAAGATACATAAAAATTGTCTAACTCTGGTATAGATGTTGTAATGGGATTAACACCCTGTTCTTTACACCAACTGTTATATATTCTGAGTCTTACATCATAAACTGTTTGTGTAGATGTCTTTCTGGCATTTGCCATAATTTCTGCAATTTCTTCAGAAAATCTTCTTGACTTGTGTTGCATTTTGACAGTTTCCATGCTACAAGACTGAGAGTTTCTAGGTTTTGATGAAAAATCTGATTGTGATTTTGAGACAGAAGATCTGGCCACAGTGGTAATTTGACTGGTACATCGATCAGAAGATCTATTATCTGAGGATACCACGACTGCCTGGGCCACATTGGAGCAATGAGTAGTACAACAGTTGCCTCTTCCCGTATCTTCTGTAAGACTTTGGGCACAAGAATAGGTGGTGGGAATGCATAAGCATAAATCCCTTCCCAGCTCATTGCTAAGGCATCTACTTGAAAAGCATTGATGTCCGGAAACGGGGAGCAACAGACTGGCAACTTCTTGTTTTGCGCAGTTGCAAACAAGTCTATACATGGAGTTCCTAATTGTTGGAACAATAAATTTACAACAGTTTTGTTGAGTGACCATTCTGTCATTCGAACTATTTTCCCCCGGGAAAGTGCATCTGCAAGAAAATTCTTCTTCCCTGGAATGTGAACAGCTCGTATTGTAATTTTGTTCTGTATGCACCACTGGAACAACTCCCAAATTAGATAACACAGTTCTGGTGAGTGTGTCCCCCCTTGCTTGTTGATATAGCTGATCACTGTTGTGTTGTCTGACCGTATAAGGATCACTTTTCCCTTTATCAAAAACAGAGCTTCTTGAAGAGCCAACTGTACTGCCTTTAGCTCCAGCCAATTTATGTGCTTCTGTTGATATTGCTGCGGCCAGACCCCTGACGTCTCCCAGTTCTCCAGGTGTGCTCCCCAACCCTGTTCTGATGCATCTGTTATCAATGTCAGTTGGCTTGGCGGATCCTGTAAAGGCATTCCCTTGAAAAAGTTTTCCCGATTCATCCATCACTGCAGGTGCTGAATTAGGATTGGCCGGATCACTATCACATGAGTAAGAGGGTGAATCTTTGGTCTCCACATTGCTAACAGGTATAACTGTATAGGACGCATGTGTAACCTTCCCATCGGAACCAGATAGATGCATGAAGCCATCAGTTCTAACAATTTGAGAATAACTACTGCTTGAGTGTGTTGACTTATTGATAAAGTCTGCATTATGTCTGAAATATTCTGAAACCTGGACTCTGTTGGTGTTGCAATGCCCTCTACCAGATTGAAATGTGCTCCCAGATACTCTATATGTTGGGATGGCACTAGGGACGACTTTTCCCAATTCACTAACAATCCCAGCTCCTGAACTAGATGTAATACATAGTCTCTCTGTTGAAGAAGAGTTCTCTTGCCTGGATTGATCATCAACCAATCGTCTAGGTACATGAATATTTGGATTACCATTTTTCTTAAGTGTGCCGCTAGGACTGCCATTATTTTTGTGAAGACCCTTGGAGCAGAACGAAGTCCAAATGGCATTGCTCGAAACTGGTAACTCTGGCCTAGAAATTTGAATCTTAGAAATTTCTGGAAATCTGTGTGAATTGGAATGTGGAAATACGCATCGGTCAAATCCAGTGAGATTGCAAAGTCCCCTTTTTTCATTGCTTTCATTATAGAACACAATGTTTCCATTTTGAAATGTCGAGGTACTATTAACTGATTTAGAGGTTTTAGATTTAGAATTGTCCGAAGCCCTCCTTGTTTCTTTGGCACCACAAAAATGGAGCTGTAAAACCCGTCGCTTACTTGCCCTGCAGGCACATGTTCTATAACATTTTTTCCTGATAACATGTTTATTTCTGCTAAAATAACTGATTCGTGAATACCATATCTTGGTACACATGTTTCCTTGATATTTACATAGGGTTGAATCATTAATTCCAATTTTAACCCTTCCCTTAGGGTCTCTATTACCCATTGATCCTTCGTGATTACAGTCCACTTCCTGTGGAATTCTAGCAAACGTGCCCCTACCTGGGGAAACATATTTACAGACTGGCTGTTAACGAGATTCACTTCCTTGGAGTCGGAAACCCTTTCTGGTTCCCAAAGGTTCGCCTGGAAAAAGAATTTTTCCTGTTCCCTTGTCCTGAACGAAAATTGTCCTTGCTGTGATCAGAACTTAAGGCATTAGTCTCATTAAACTTAGGGACTTTTGCAGAATGAGTGGAGGTCTCATTTACCTCTGCTTTCCTCTTCCTGCTCAACTCGGTAGAGTTCCTATTTTCTCTACTCTTGTAGTTCTTATTATAACCCTTTGATGTATTGTAAACATTTTGGGTTTCTCTAGCATCTCGTAGATTCTCAGCAGATGTATGGAGAGATTCAAAGTACTGTCCATTAAATAACTGGTTGCCGAAAATAAGTAGTTTCAGCAATTTCTTCTCTGTTGCCTTGCTTATAAAATCTACATTTTTAAGAAAAACTTGTCTTCTACTCAAGACTGAATTTGCCATCACTCTTGCTGTCAAATCAGCCATGCTTCTGAAAGAGTTGATGAGGGCTTTACGTCCTTCCACTCGATCATCCCCACATTCAGCCTCATCTAAGAAAGCTGCTATCATAGTGCCATATGAAATGGCTCTGAATAAGGCTCTTGCTGAATTGTCAATTCGCCGAAAGTCATTATCTAACTCCTTATGGAAAGATTCACTTTCGATTTTCCAAAACTACCCTTCTGGCCTACTACTAATCCCTCCTCAATATTGTCATCCAACTTTGGAGGATTACAAAAGGCGTCAAAGTCATCCTTTTTAACCATAAATGCTTTATCATCTCTGCCACGTACTGACCTATTTTTCAAATGCTCCGAAGTTGCTTCTTTCTCAACTGTCTTAATCATATCAATGAGTGTTCCTTCAATAGGCATTTTAAGGAGAGACTTTTTCTTGTCACTCTTGTCTCCTTTCAATCGCGAAGAAATAAATGATTTTCTTTCATTTTCTAATGGATCCTCAGCTTCAAGATCAATATTGAGTACTTTTGCCATCTTTGAAACAAAACCGTTCCACTGTAGCGGATCAGAAGAATCTGGTGCACCAAAAGGCACCTCTACGGCCGCATCTGAATTGGTACACAAACCACCAAATGATGCATTAGAATCTATATCCTCAAAATCATTATCTCGTGCATTAACAGACAACACCTCTGCAACACTGGACTCAAAGGCTGACATTTGTTCATCATAAGCCTTAAAATTGTCAAAATGAGGTCTGCTTATGGTTGCCGTTTTGGAATTGGTGGTCTCATTTCCTCTGATCAACCTTGCCTCACTTGCTGCAAACGCCGATATGTTATGTTGATCATTAAAATTTTCATCAACATTCTTTTGTTTAAATAACAATTCAACCTGCTGTCTTACTTGTTCTTGAACAATTGCGGATAAATCCACAACGTCGGGTCTGTTACGTTCGGCATTCAGTAAGGCATTGTCGTTTGACTCCTGGACTGCCGCCTCCACAGACGGACTTACGTCCTGCACTGCCATGCCGTCTCCATAGACGGACTGAGGCACCTTACTGTTCATTTTAATTGTTTTCTGTACACTTTTCTCGATCATCTTCGTTATTTTATCCCGCTGTTCCTTTGACCACGTTTTACAAATGTCACATGGAAAGGCCTCGTTACAGAGACGATGTTTATAACAAAAAACGTGATCATCTAGAATGTTCATCTTACCCGAACATTTAGAACAGTCTTTAAACTCTTTCTCCATAATTACAACGGGATAAACGCTTCCAAAAACGCCAATATAAACTTTATTTTGCACTGTATGAGGAAAACCGCATGTCCAATATGGCGTCGAGAGAAAACTGAAGAGTTATAGTTAAGGGGGATAACTGGAGGTGATACCGTAGTTACTCTAAAAAATATATCGAGGCATTGTATGGGGATCTAGAGGGAAATTGCAAATAGTTAAGGAGGCAGGTAATTGGAAATATTGAAATGAACAGACCCTTTAAATTTATTATTGATCTCTGACTTCAATCTTTCCTTGGGACTAAAAAATGTTAGAAATATATTCATTTGATGGATATAGTAAACTTTTTCAGCGGCACCCTTTGCTAATAAATTTTCTACTTCATTTTGAACCAGCATTGAATCATTTTCATTAAATGAGATTCCTTTTTGGAATTCAAGATTGTTTTGGTTCCTCAAAGAAATCAATTTTTTATAGCCTTCAACTGTGCTTAAAATCCATTTATCATGTGTAAAATTTTTCCAATAGTCAATGTTCAGCTTTATAACCTTAACTATTTCTTCTGACTGTTTCTCTGGTATTAGTTTTGCTGCTGGGAGTAACTCTGTCCTCTTCTCTTGAAGCCCTGGTCACTTCGAGGTCTGTATAGGTATTCTCTGTTTGGATACGTGTAACCTTGATTGTACTGATATGTTTGGTTGTGCTGCTGGAAATAACCAGCAGTTTAAAGGCACTCTGTTCCTGTATGCAGAGTAGTTTCTACCTTGCCCCCTGTTAGAGCTAAGGGGATACTTACTAATGTCACCAATGTCTTTAAGTTTTAACATACAGCTGTCAACAAACAGATTTTCAGAAAAAGGGACATCAGAACTATATATTTTCCTGTACTTAGGATTCAAGTGATTTCTGATTTCATGTCGTCTTTTTATTGACAAATTGTAAAACCCATATCCAAGAAGATATTGAATCAGATAGCATGGCTTTTGTCTTTTGACTGTCGATTGCTTTATTATTTGCTAAGGTGGCAGAGGATAGCACAGGTGCTTGAGGACAGGACCCCCCCCCCCACCAATAAAGACCCCCGGGCCTGTTAGACTTTTTTTTCACATAAATTATATATGGATGACACATTTGTGATATAATCTATCCTATCAATTCAGAAAATTTGCTTAAACTTACATTTATAAAAATATCTACCCTCTCTATATATAAATTAACAAGGTTGCCAACTTCGTCTGCAAACCGAGAGCCACTGCCGAGAATTTTGGTTGAATCGTCTCATAAATCTTCAGAAAGCCCTAAAATCAACAAGTTATATTGTAGATTGAATATTTTTTTTCATTAACCATCAACTCTCATAAAGGTTAAAGGCACTTTAACAGTCGTTATGACCAAGTTTTCGAAAGGATGTCAAGCTACAGTCAGGGTTAATGCTTAGTGAACGGAAGTGACGAGGAGACGACTTTTTACCAAAATACACAGTTCTGCAGAAAGTCTGAGACACTGTTTTGAAGTAAACTTTTGAAGAAATTTGGTTGATATACACTTTAAAAAATGTCTTTCAAATGTATTGGGAGAATAGAGTTCTAAACCGCTGATGCAAATGAAATGTCTCTAATTATTTTTCAAATACCTGATTTGTATGTGAGAGTTATGCCCTTTTAAAAATGCAATTTATAAAAATATCTTCTTTTCCTTAAATATTTGTGTAAATCTACAAAACGTTTGAAAATAAAATTTTGATGAAGAATTCGTACAAAAAAAAAACAAGAATATTTCTATTGTTGATGTTTTACACGCATATTTGGGTATAAGGGAACATCGGAAATTAGTCCTCTCCTCGTTACTTCCGTTCGATAAGCTTTTTACGGAGTTGGCAACCTTGTTGATTTTTATATAGAGAATGTAGGGTAGATTTAAAAGAACGTTTGTTTTAGGTAATTTTTCGATTTGCTGGTATAGATCTTATCACAAATATGGCCATGAAAGATTTTTTATGAGAAAAAAACCGAAAAAGCCCAGGGGTCTATATCGAAGGGGGGCGGGGGGGGGGGGTCCTGTCCTCAAGCACCTGTGGAGGATAGTTTCGAATAAAGTACCGTCAAAAAATAGAAAAAATAGAGAAACCTGAGGTTTGAATGCATATTATAGGTAATTTTATAGCTAGAATGTTTTAAGGGTGCATTTGGAGGGAATTGGTGGCCTTGTATATTTTATTGAA